TGTTAATTTTAATCATACCTTTTCATTTAGCATTTCAATTTCATATTTTACATTAAACTATTTTTATATCTAAAAAAGATAAATGATATAAAAAGGTTAATTATAAATGAATAATTAGAAAATGAAATTAATCAAATGAGTTATAAAATGAAACATATTATTAGTATAAAAATCAGAACTATTAGAACAAATAAATTTCTTCAACTTTTTTTATATACAATTTATGAGCTTTCGAAAAGCTTATTTAAATCTTAATTTAAAATTACATTAAATAATAGTAACAATATTTTACTCATCATTTGTTGACAGATTTGTAACTTCTTCTCATCGTTGATATCATTCTTAATTTTGTTCAAATAAAATGATCGATACATCGAAGATAATCAGTTATATCATTTCAATATGATATAATTTAAGAGAAAATTTCTTCCTTAAAATAAGCATATTTATTTATTTAAAAAAGTATAAAAAGAGAAGACAAACAAACTTAATTATCAGTAATATCACAACTATAATTAATTATTCATTTTAATGAGTAATAAAAAAAATTTTTTGAAAATTTAATTTGACGAAAATTAATTGCAAATCGGTTAATATACATTTCCATCAAAATATTGTTGAACTTTATTATTGGATCAGATCGAATTACTATTACTAATTTAAACATAAGTCATTTTAATATATAAAATAAAAACTTCCACTAAAATAATTAAACTCTTACAGATTATAAGTGATATTATTTTGTCGTAATAAAGAAAACCAAACATTAAAGAAAAGGAAAAAATACTCTGCAAATTTATAGATATCGCAGAAAGTAATGAAAAAATTGCGTGATTACATGACACCTAAAAGGTATGAAAAATATATTTATAGGAAGAAAGTTTTCAACAATTTCAATTATCATTTATGAAATTTGCAAGAAAGCCAAAAAGTCATTTTACGAAATAATAAATAGACTATAGCCACATATATTCGATACAGAAAAGCAATTTAGTATGTATCAGGTAAAAGAACTACGTTTTCAATTTTTAATTTTCCGGAAAAGGTTACGGGAAAGTTTTGTTTCCTTTTCTTTAAACTTTTCTCATTTTAAAAACATATGATAACAACTTTTTTTCCGGTACAGTTATCCTTTTATTTCAAATTTATCTCTATCCATTTTCATACCTTTCCAAAACGTAACTTACTTAATCCAAATAAGTTTGTTAATTCATTGTTGTTTTCATTGGTTATTTTCTGGGAGAATCGTTCAGAAAATATCTTCCAAAAATTAAAAGCTTCCTATATCCATCAAAAATTTGTTTCTTTCATTAAATGGATTGATTATTGATTATTAATGATTATTTTCTGTTATAATCAGCTCGAATTCCTGGTCTTATCCCTTTTATGAATTATGAGAAGCTATCTGATAAGACATTTATGTAACAGTAATTTATTTTAATTACCAGTTAGTTTCATTAAAAGCTTCCTTTACTTTTATTACCTTAAATTAATTCAACTAAGCATCCATTCACTTCTCTTGTAATATTTTTTACTTCTGCTAAAATTTAGAATTCATAATGACTTGTTATGAATTTTTCATTTGCTTTATCTGAATGCCTAAAAATATCATTGTCATATCATTAACACATTGAAGTAAAACAATAAAAGATTTTCAATTTGTGATCAGTCATCGCAAAATAATTTACTTTTCATTTTATCGGAATTATTTAAATGTTAGAATGAAATCGAAATTTACATTTTAATAAATATTTTACAAATTCAATTTTAACTTTTAAAGCCATAAAATTTAATTTTTCACTGTTCAGTTCTATCATTTTTCTGCAAATTTTTTATTTTTGAAAATCAAACTTTTTTCATTGTTTTTCAAAAATAATTAATTTTAATTCTATTGAATAGATAATTTTAAAATCGTTCAATTTTCATCAGAAAATATTAACTCAATAATAAAATTTAAATTAAAAACAATGGAGGTAGAAATGATAATTAGAATAATTAAGCATTAGCAATGATATTCATAGAAAACATATCAAAATTTCGCTGATCTTTTCTTTTTACAAATAACACATAATTAAAGCATTAATATTTAAAGTTTAATCCAAAACACACCTATGGACATTAATTAATGAGTATCTTCCATTTTATTCGATCAGTTTCTCCCATTAATGATTTTTTTGTTGCATTCATTTGTTCTTCGTGTCCTATCTATTGTTTTTCATTTAATAATTCAAATTTTAGTTTTGAAAAATAATAAGTAAGTAATTAAAGGCTGTCAGTAATCAATGCTTACACATTCAATTTATTGAATTTTTCCGTTATTTCGCTTTAATATTTATTGCAAATTTTGGCGTATTTCATTTCAAATTAATTAATTATTCATTAAATCCATTATGAAATTATATATTTAATTCGATGATTTTCTTGTAAAACTAATTTTTCCTAAAGTAAACTCATTCCATTGAGAAATACTTTTAATCCAATTTTTTTCAAACTGAAAAGTCTAAATTTCAAAAACTTATTTTTATTTTTAAATTACTATTAGCTTCACTCTAACTTACGAATATCAAATTTCCCAGCATTAAAACAATTAAAATTTTATAATTATTTATTCATTGCTTTACGTGCATTTCAACTTTTCAACTGCCCGTTAAATTAAAAATTCAAAGATGCTCTAAGAATTGTTGAAAATTTTGCAGTATTTGTAATTTTGAAGATTAAAATGATATATTCCAATTTTCTCATATATGATATTATTCTTATTAAATATTTTAATTATCATTTGATATATATATGATATCATTACAAAGTAAGTCTTTTTGTTAAAAAGATGAAGTAAAAATTTGAGAAGAAATTTTTGTTGCAAAATTTTATTTTCTATAATTAAGTCAAAAATTTCAAATCATATCTTTCAGTTATAATTACTATTGGCATAATGAATATAATTAAAATAATTAATTGAAATATAATTTGAATTATACAACTATTTTGAGAGAAATAATTTTAATGCATTTTATCTGAGAAAATTTTTTCACACTCTGAAAAATTTGATTCCCACCTAACTCCTAAATAATTAATAATTTTCAATTAATTATCTGAAATACCAAACGGAAACTTAATATTTTAGATATTATTATCTTTCACTTTTTAAAATATAAATTTCTCACAATGAATGTTTTAAAAAAAAGCCATTTTATATTATTTAAAATTAAATTTTAGTAATGGCTTCCAGCAAATGCAATAGAATTATTCTAATTTAGTCGAATATCGGCAACTTTCTTCGCCTTTTTCAGATCATTGAATATTTTTAATTGAAATGTAATTTCATTTCTTATTGATATTTGTAAAGTGTTATGAAGAAGTGAATGTATTCTAGGCAGCCTTAAAAGGATACAATTAATCTAAAATGAAACTTACACACATTACAACTCTTTCATCAAAGAGAGAGAGAGAGAGAGAAAGAGTAGGAGGAAGAATTGTATCAAAAAATACGGTATATTCTATTTCCTTAGTGAATTCATTAAATAAAATATTGTTTGAAAAACATTTCAAATAATTTAAACAATAAAATATTAAAGAGAGAGAGAGAGAGAGAGAGAGAGAGAGAAAGTTTTCTAATGCATTTTGTTTGAGAGAATTTTTTGAGACTCTAAAAAGTTTTATTCTCAGCTAATTTCTAAATGATTAATTATTTTCAATTCATTTTGAAGCTGCTTTATTTTTCTTTTACCTTTAATATTTGAAAGAATTGTTTATATTCTCAAACTTTTTTGCTATTCTTTTAATTATCAATCAATTCTTTGAAATAATTTAAAATTATTAAAAGATTTTATATTAATTAACTAATTTAAATTAATTTTATATTAATTAATGTTAATTTTTGAGCAAATATTTTCTCATAAAACTATTTTTATGATATATTTAGTAAACAAATGCTTAAATTAATTTTATTAAGTAAATTTAATTGATAACGTGCATGCATGCATGCACAATGAAAACAAACAGCAGCACTTTCTTTTCTAAAATTGCAAGAGTTTTTTTTTTTTTGAAATTTAATATCTAAAAAAGGCTAATAATTTGAATAGATATCCTTTAACTGCAAAATTATTTGAAATATAACTTATCGAAGTGCAAAAACATTCAATGAAATGAAATGGGTAGCGAATGAAAGAGAGAGAGAGAGAGAAGGAGAGACAGAGAGAAATTATCTTTCCCATAGAAGTAACCTTTTTTAAATTTTAATTTAATGCTTTTAGTTATTTGAATAGTTTAGTTAAATAGAGAAGGGATAGATATTTGAGAATGAAAAAATTTATTTGCATTTAAATGTTTGAAATTGATTAGGCGGAGCTGTTTTTCATTTCCTTCTATTACTTACTATTGAATTGAGCCGATGAAAATAAAATGAAATGAATGAGAGTTATACGGAAAGCTTAAATTCTTAGAACGAAGCTAATTTCATTCAGTATTACTGACAACCGGAATTATCATTTCAAATTTTCAAACTTATTTTTTATTTTTTGAAATTAAAATTTTTCGCTTAATAAAATTGATAAACTCTTCTATTTCTTTTTTAAATTAGTGTATTTGAATGTTATTCAAAAATTATAAAATGCTATTATTCTTATCATTCATTATCATTCGTATCATTCATATCATTCGCTATTACAAATTGATTCATTCGTCAAAATTTGTTATTTTAAGAATTCATTTAAAGATTATATGGAATTTTTCAATTTGCAATCTATTCACTAAAATATGAAACGAAAATGGTATTTTATTTGATTGAGAATTCTCGGATTTAAATTCCTGCGCTTCAATAATTTAACAACCATTATTACTATTTATTACTATTACTCAGTGATAAAATTAACATTAGGCATTAACTTTATTACATTCTTCTATGCTTACTATAATAAATAATAAAAGTTTATTAGAAAGCATAATTAAACGAAAATCAAAATTGCTATTGAATAGATAAATAATCACTGTTTAGTGATACAATGATAAAATCGATTATTTTATTCCTCGCAGCATTTTATCCACAAATGACAGCATTAAGAATAAACGATTATCCATGGACTTATGATAACGACCTTTTTGGAGGTAATTTTCTTCCGCTCATAAAAATTCAGCAATCATTGGAATCAAAAAAATTATATTATATATTTTCTCCTTTTTAAAAATAAACTTTTTTCTTAGACAAAAGAAAGTTTGAAAGTTAAATTTAGAATTTTATAGGACCCGACTTTTGGGGTCTATTGAGTAAGAAGTGGAAAATGTGTGCAAAAGGTAAAATGCAATCACCGATAAACATCAAACCGGCATCAATTTTATTCGATCCGTTATTAAATGATATTAAAATTGATGAAATATCGGTAAACTTTTACGGTTAGCTTTTTTTTTTAACTTTTTATTTTGTGGAAAAATTAAATAATTTCTTTTAATTGTAAATATTTGCTTAATTAATGCTTAATTTCATTATATTTTCATCATCAAAAATAATATTGTTACAATAAATTTAAGATTAAATCAAATTTGAATTTTAATTTTAAATTAAAATTATAATTAAATGATAATTTATATTAAAATAAGAGTAAATATTTTCAATTTTATATTATACAAATTGGAAGAAATATTTTGAAGGCTAACAAACTTTTATTTTAATAGCAAACATTTAAGTTTTAAATTAAAATAAGCTAAAAGAATTTGATTGTGTTGTAAAATGAAATCAGTGATAATAAATTATACATGAATTTAGTATAGAATTTATTTCAATTTGCTTATTTGTCATTTTTATTTAAAATATTTCCAACACAACAACAACAACAACACTTTGATCACAGTAGAAGTATAACAGTAGTTTTTAGACAACAGCTGAAATGATGAACATAGGTCAAATGCCACGATTGCGAGTACTTTATAATACTCATTCTTCTGCTGTAAACATTACCGGTGGACCGTTGCATCCTTACAAGTATCGTTTACAAAGGATCGATTTTCATTATTCAAATGATGATATGACAGGTTCAGAGCATGCTATCAATTCGAGAAATTTCCCGATGGAGGTCTTCTTTTATCGTATAAATTTTCATGTTAAGAATGCCTACTATATATTGAAATTATAATTATTTTAAGATAACAAATAGATCAATCAAATTGTGATCTTATATGAAAAGGTCAATAGACCAAATATAAAACATGAGATGGATAAAGTAATAAACAAGAAGGATTATATATCATAGTTCGATGCATTTGTTTTGAAATAAAGTAATGTTTTCTTTTAGATTCAACTAATAACGTATAACACTGATTTATATAATAATTTTACAACAGCTTTAACATTACCACGTGGAATCGCCGCTGTTTCAATTATCGTTTTGGTTATCTTTCATATTCTAACACAATTCATTGCAATGCTGTTTTTATTTATTGAAATACTTTTAATAATAGTTCGATGGTTGCAATTATTAAAACAAAGATTTGATCTTAGATGGATGATGATAAATTATCTTTCTTTCGAGTAATTATTACTTAAGCAAAATTTAAAGATAAAATGTTATTGTTATTTATCATTGAGAAAAGTTTACAGATTGATAAGCACACCAATGAAGAGCTATTGAAAATCACTCAATCTATTGAGAAAGTTTCTTTCAGAAGTAATAATTAAATTTCACTTTTAAATATTATGAATGAATGACAAAAATAATTAATTAATTAATTTCATTTTCTTAACACTTTAAATTATCATCTTTTAAATGTTATCATTTTTTTTTTTGCAAAAATTTTAAATTTTGTTAATTTATATAAATTAAGGAAAGAAATTTCAGAGAAACGAATTACATTGCATAAATTGAAAATATGGAAATTATTTCCAACTTTAATTGATTATGTGACATATGAAGGATCGATGACATCACCTGGTTGTTATGAAACGGTCACTTGGGTTATACTTAATCATCCAATTCATATCACTCAAACAAATGTAAACATTTTTATCAGAGACTAAGAGAGAGAGATTTCTTACTCTTATAATCTCATTTTCTATAGCAGTTATAGATAAGGTTGTTAAAGTGTAACCCAATTAAATGGTTAAATCCTAAACTATTTCATTTAATTAACAAACCAAAAATTCATATGCTGTTCTTGGAAACATAAATGTAAGATTTCAGATTTTTATTTAATGAGTAAATTGCAGTTAAACAAATGGCGAAAACTACAGCGAACCATTGTGGAAGAGAAAGAGCCTCAATATGTGGCACCCAATTTTAGGCCACTACAACATTCTTATGGACGATTAATTCGAACTAATATTATTAGCAGAGTAAGTTTTTTATATAAATATCATCACATTTAATTCTACCAAATTTCTTCAAATGAAATTTCTTCATAAAGAATAAATATATTTAATTATTTTCCTATTATTTGAATTAAATGGTAGGCGATGATTTATCGCTTTCAACAACATTTTAAATTTAATATTTGAAAAAATTTGTTTGTTGTCGTAACGTTTAAAAATAGATTGTTAATTGAAATTAAATTATGAAATGTAAATGAAAAATATTATTTCAATTTCAAAATATACTTAAATTGATTAGTAAATCAAAAATGCATATTCATCTTTAACGATCTTTAACAATCGATGTCTGAAACATAATTTAGATATTAAGTTTAAAACTATTAGCATTACTTAAATAAAACTTTTGTAGTACGTTAATTGAATGTTACTGAACACGAGACGTTCTATTTAATATCTTTATTCAAATAGGAGTGACATAGGAATGATTTTTGCTCGTATTAAAATCTTATCGTTACAATTTCAACAACAGTCACTAATTTTAAATATTTAAATTTCAATTCTAAAACGGTTTGATATCTAAATTAATGCCTAAATCAGTATGTTATTTTTATTTAGAATGCCAGTATGGAATGTAAGCATCATATTCCGGTTTCACGATATCGCTCAAATTTAGGACGAACTTGAAATTTCTGGAAAATTCCATCATTAATTGATAATGCCAGCCCCAAAAAATGTGAACAGTATTTACTTCTATTCTTTAAGGTTATGCAATGAAATTATATAAACTATTGATTGATTTTATCAATCAATATATTACCCTAATTTATTTTTATCACTTCGAAATGAAACTTCACATGCAGCTGATTTACAGAAATAAAACTTGACTTCGTTTTAAAATATGATCATTTTTCGATAGGGATGTTAAATAAAGTGTAGATTCTGTATTGATAAACAACATTATATTGATATTGATAAAACAACATTAGCACCAATAATTTACTTCGAAACAATTGTAGAAGTTGAGGATCTCCGTAATTCAGTATCAAATATTCTTAATAAACTATCATCAACACTTGCTGCTTTTTGTGAATAATCGTTTTCATGGTAATTTAAAGGCAATTGCAACTTTAGAAATCCGTATTTAGATCCTGATAATATATTTTGAAACGAATGGTTTGCGATAGGCCTAAAATTCATCACTTCTTGTTGATGAATACTTTCTATAGGCCTATCTGGACAATTTGCTTGTACTGCTTTATTATTATAAAATGATAGCATTTGATTAAGCGAGTTATTGTTGAAAGTTTCAATTGTAGTAGCTTCTTTCGATCGTTGAAAAGAACATTCGCTGAAAATTGAAGCGCAATTGTAAACATTATTATAAAACTTATAAATTGGATATTATGAAAATACCCATCACATTCTTTTTTTCTAAATAAGAAAAATTACCTCTGATCTTCTAAAGCAGTAACATATGATTCGGAATTTTGTGGATCGGTAACGATCGTAGAGAATGATTCATAATCTGAATAAAATGGTGAATCACTGTATTCTGATTCTTCGGCGATAGAACTTGGATGAATCAGTACATTATTATTAGTTCCATAACATTCTTGCCGTGTAAGTATATCTGTTCGTACATTTATCACAACGTTATCATAACTAAAATGCGCTTTCATTTTAATTATTTCAAAAATTTGAGGAAAATGTTGAAAATTCAAAATTTTCACTTTCTATTTTCTCTTATTAATTATAATATCAAGCTGGACAAGCTCAACAAATTCGTGTATAGACTATTCTATTGCGCTATTGTCACATTTTTTAATTAAGATATTTATTAATTATGAATATTATTCCTTTTTTTCTTTCTTGTCATACTAAAAATTGTCAGATATTTGGCGAAATATGAAGGCAAAATATCCAAATTATCTATGAATACCTCGAATGATGGCGGTGTTTGTTCAATAATTCAGAACTGAAAGCGCCGTTATCATGAGATTGCAATGGTCTGCAAAGCAATATTTTTAGATGAAAGTTTTTGATGATGCAATAATAACTAATAGTCAGTTTATAATTAAAGCAATTATTTAGTTCAAAAAAACAAACAAACAAATAAACATTACATGACAGGGCTATTGACAGCCGAAATTTCGCTATTTGTGGAAATATTCTTTGTTGCAGTGAATTCGTTCGCCTTTGTGTTTTTGTTCGCAATGGTACCCTTTTGGTCTTTCTCCTGAATTTTACTATTCTGTTTCAACTTTTTTTGATTCTGTGCTTCTTTCCTCCTCTTCAAATGTTGTTGAAGTACGATCTTAAATGATTCCAAATGCACAACAATAGGTTGATTCAACCATCGATGTTTGAAAATTTCTAATAAATCTGGTCTTCTAGATGGTGTCACCGCAAGACATTGACGCAACAAATTTTCACAATCTGCAAATTAAAATGTATCATTCATTTGAGAGAAATTTAAATCAATAATGTAGTGGGAAAGGAAAATAATATAGTGAGAGAGGAGACATTGTAGTGAGAAAGGAAAATTTTTCTTTTAAGAAAAATGGAAAGAATAAAATTTCGCAAATCAATTTTTTATTTTAAGTTTAAGCAATTACAAATAATTATGGATATGAATTAAACGAACCTTTTGAGATGTATTTTGGAATGTTAAATCTGCCTAAACAAATTTGTATTTCATTTTGAAATGGTAAATATCCTGAAACCATAACATATAGGACTATACCAAGTGACCATACTGTTGCTTCTAATGGCTTATAAGATAACCGTTTAAACCATTCCGGTGGACAATACAAACGAGTACCTGAAATTTAAAAAAGAAACGAAATCCTAATTTTTAAAATCATTCAGGTATAAACTCCCTTTATCCTAAATGTTTTGATGTAATTAGTGCAAAAAAAAGACAAAAAAATCATAATTAAATTGTCTAATTATAAAATTCTATAAAAGATTAAAATATAAAAACTTATGATAGGTTTAAAATCTAATTTACATTCTTTGAAGTATTCTATTTTAGTAGGCATGAAAAAATAATTTTCGAGTGAAAGAACACTAAATTTGCATATAGCATATATATTATTTACTGTTTGATATAAAAATGATATTCAAAAGAATTGCTAACATCTAAAGATAAATAATCTATGAGATATAGGTATACCGTATACCTGAAACGGTAAAAGTAATCACGCTGCAACAGATCATCATCTAGGGTTATCTTTTTCCGATTGAAATATTATATTTCTACTACATTTCAACACTCAAATATTTGCATAATAAACCTTGGAATTCTTTGACACACTCCTCAGAAATGAGTGCTGCAGCACCGAAATCCACTAGGATAGCTTCTCCCGTATCCATATTAATTATTATATTCTCATCCTATAAAATTAATTTCAATCTATCATTAGATTATATAATTAATCTGTTATTAAAATATGAATGAGAAAGGCAACTTTGAATTGCTAATAATTGATTTTAAGTCATTGTAAGTCCAAGTATTAATTGATTTAATTTAATTTAACTTTATAAATTGAACATTTTTTAAACCTTAAACATTGGTATCATTCGATAAATTACAATATCATATCATATTATATCATATCATATCAATACAATAATATAATTTATTGAAAACTTCAAAAGAACTCTTTTAATTATTTTTAAATATGAAATAATAAAAATTTATCGTTGTTCAAATGAACATTGATTTGTCAATTATTAATTTATCAGATTATTTCATAGGGAAATTAAAGTTACACCTTAATATCTCGATGAAAGATACCATATGTGTTATATAACAAACAAGTTGTATTTAATATTTGCACAAATATCGATCGTGCAATATCTTCATCCAAATAACCATAAATTGAAATTAAATCGAATAGATCTAAACATTGCTGTGGTCGTTCCATTACTATTAGAAATCCTTTCGAACTACAAAATTATTTTCATCTAATTAAGCAAAAAAAAATTTGAAAACTTTGTTAATTAAAATTAATAAACTTTTAATGAATTATTGCATACAAAAACAATGCAAAATGATATTTGAATATGGCAATAATTAAATAATGCAAATTTTTAATTATTTAATTCAAATTAAGCTATGTTTTGCAGTTTAAATATCTTTTGCAACAAAATCTCTGAATTGAAAATTTGCAATTTTCAGTTAAAATAAATAAAACAATAAATATATTATTGACAAACATAAAAAACTTTAAAAAAGATTCTTAAAATGGTTGTTAATTTAAAAAAAAAAGATATTTACGATAAGACAAAGATTATTATAATTAAAATTTTCTAATTTATATAATTAATTCAAAGATTTCGATGCGATGGATGAAAATACCGTACTTAGCAAACCAATCAATTAATTGAACAACTCCCGGCACATTACGACAAATATCCAACAAGCAAATTTCTGTTGGAATTAATTGTTTACATTTCTGCAAAATACTTTTTTTCCTTTTCTTAAAAAATTCAAACATGAAAAAGTAAATAATATTATTATTATTTTTAGTATTAAAATGATTGAAAAGAATTTAATAAAAATTGAGGTAAAATTTTAAGAAAAAAATGCACATTGCAGTAATAACAGTTCACTGCTAATGTACACTTCGCCAATAGTTCTTCAAATTTTTAAGGTTGAAATTCGGAATTGACCATAGTCCATTCTCGGACTCGTTTATGCTCAACGAATTTGACCGCAACTGGAGCATTATCATCATTTCGTTCTGCTTTATAAACAATACCAAAACCACCACGACCAAGCTCCTCTAACATTGTATACTTCTTCCGGAATTGTTTTGATCCATGTGCTATAAATGAATTAATAAAATTTTAATCAATTTTTTTCCTTTTGTTTCTAAAAAGAAAAATTAAATGAAATGTTTATACTTAATCTGAATGGTACTTCTTTTTTAAACGAAATGTCTATACTTAATCTGAATGGTACTTCTTTTTTAAAGCGAAATGTTTATAGTTAATCCGAATGGTACTTTTTTCTTTAACAGTGATATTCTTTTATAGAAATGATAGAAAATTAAAAATTTTTAAACGAAGCAAACCTTTATCATTAAAAAAATTAACATTATATGATATACAATAAGTTAAATCTTGCAATCTGCGACACAACATGCTGAAATAATGTATGATAAAGAAATGGATAATATATCATAAATAGCAACAACGTTTTGATTAATGAACCGATAACTGATAACTTCTTTTCGAAACAGTTCACAAGACAAACAATAGTTGTCAAAAAGAAATTAATTATGAAAGGAACTTTGAGAGATAATATTTGTTGTTGAAGAAGAAAGGAATATGTTAGAATGATAGGAAGGAATATAAATTTACTTACAAATTATAAGGAAAATTATTTGCCTAAATATATTGCATTGATAAACTTTGGAAAGTTTTTGATGGTAAAACTCTAAGAAAGTCTCTTTTAATTGAATTTGAAAAGTTTCAATTTGTGAAATGTTAATGGAATTTTTATTTTCATGAAGATAATTGGATTTAATATATTTTGAATGAAGTAATAAAAGAAAGAGATATATACCGTATCCATTATCAGATAATATACAATATCTGATAACGTATATTTTAATTGCATAATTTGGTAAATAGTACCACTTAACTTTGCTAAGACAATTCGTAGTTCTAGAACTTTCGAGTAATAAAATTTGAATCGATTTCTAATATGATTTAGATAAATCTAACTCTTAAAGGATGAATGTTTTGTATTCACATGATTTTATCGTTCCGGAAAACTAATTCAGAAAATCAGAAGAAGTTTGAAATGTCAACTTCTTAGCTCAGATTTCCTCTTCCTGTTAACATCAAAAATATTCTGTACAATTCGATGGAAATTTAATTTAACTATTATTTCTTAAAACAGACACAATAAACAAATCACCCGCCCTATAAAGATTCCCGGGAGATAATTCTACTGGATGGAGTGATCATTTATTTCTTTCATATGTAATTTACATACGAAATATTGAAATGAATTTGAAACAAAAAAAAACTTTAATTTAAAAAAAGCAAAATTTTTCTTCTGAAAGGATTGAAATTTTGACCTAATAAAATGATCGCATATTCCTTCCATTCAACATCATTTGTATTATAACAGAGGGCAAAGAATTAAACCAAAAAGTTTAAAAACTTTAATGAATAAAATGGAAGTATATTTCCGATATGAGATTTGAAATAAGTCGGATCTGTTAAAATCGTTTTATATTGATGCTACTAATCAATATACATATATATATATATATATGAGATTGATTAAGGATTAGTCATCCTGGAAAAGTTATGTGAGCTATTAATTTAGTTATCGATGAATGAATGATTCAGTGAACTATTTCAAAGATGGATATATCGTTGAATATTAATGATATGAAGCAAATAGAGATCGAATAGATTGATTGATTTTATCGATTTGTTGCAAAATTTCATCATTAACTTTTAAATTTTACTGCGATAGTGTAATGAATGTAAAATGAATTTTAGAATTAATCTTTTGTGAAAATTTAAAAATAAAGAAAATTATATATGAAATTTTCCTATATCTTTTATTGTGAGAAAATTTTAATAAGTAAGATATGAAACTTAATAATTTCAAATACAATCATTTACGTATAATGAAACCTAATATCACATTTAATTATTTCAATGAAATAGTCTGAAATTTAGTTCAGGCAAATAAATCAGCCAACAGCTGTCACTACAGCCGCATTTATAAACGTAGAACTAATGGAAATAACAGGCGCGTTAACAATGCATAATCTTATTTCCAATATGGAATAAAAATAACATAAAAGAAGTTGAAGTAATTTAAAATCTATTTACTTATAAATTAGATAAAATATATGTATTGTTTGCTCGCATATATATCATGCAGAAATGATTGCATGCAGCATGCAATTGTGATAAAATTTATAACAGATTAATGAAAAAATCAATAATTATTCATTTTGTTTAGTGAATAATTACTAACAATCTGCAAGAATTGCAAATTAATTTGATATGTTTTATTAACCTATTTTTATCGATGCAAGAAGCATGCACATGCAATGAAGAAAAAGCATGCAAGCATATACTTCCGTAATTTTTCCTTTTTGACTAAATTAAAAATTAAAATTTAGTTTCAAATTTAGTTTTAAATTAAAATTTAGTTTGATGGTTACTTCTATTCACTTTAGAAAATTATACTTAGCAAAAAAAGAATTTTATCTCAAATCAAGAAGTGTAGAATGAAATAAACAAATAAAACTAACAGTAAGCAAATAACCTAACTTAAAAGTTTTTAAATGGCCTAATTTAAGGGCCTAAAGGCTATCATAATATTTTTATAGCAATTTAGATATTAACCTAAATTTATTATTATTACTTATCTATTCTTTTTCCTTTCTTCATTTCGTCCTTTATCAATGATAAGCACTTTTTTGCATAATATAGCAAAGCTAAATAAGTATTTGAAACAAATTCATTATAAAATATAAAATAGGATTATAAGAAAAAATTCAAAATATGACAAAATTTCTTTCTTTTTTAAATAACCTAATCGATTGATTTCTTATCAGAGCTTGAAATAGCAGTTTTATCTAATCATTATCATCTAATCAATTTCTACTGGATCCAATTTCTACTTTATTGCAAGAATAAATGAAAATGGAAAAGCAAACGTAATGAACGGTAATAAGTCGGTAGTTACTGCAAAATAAACAGCAAACACAGCTTTGTGTTAAATATTTGAAAGATATTTGTTAAACTCTGACAGATGAAATTCAAGGTATTACCATCTTTGTGCTTAATATTTGCAACTATCATTGCATACATAACGGAAAATATTTAAGTTTAAAAATGTCAGAAACAATAAGGATATTAAGAGATAAATTGTAGAACTAAGAATTGGCTAAAGATTGAAAAAATTTTTTAATTTAAATTAATTTTCAATTTAAATTCATTTTGAAAAGTATTATTCTAACAAAAAGATAATAAAGTTAGCTTCAAAATTTAATATTTTTATTATTTTAAATTTAAAATTTAAAAATGCAATATGTTTGAGTGAGGAATGATGAAGAAATTCATTTGCAAACATACTTTTAAATACTACAATGTTAGTTATTCTATCTCTTTGAAACTTAAAATTCATTTCATTTTGAATTCATCAAAACCTGAAATACTATTTTAACATTAAATTAAAGGTTAATTATTCTCAATTGTTATATTAATAAATTAGCATCAAAATTCCGCAAATCTTCAGGTAAAAAATTGTTCACACCAAGAATTTTTCTTAGTAAATCGATTGCTAAACTTTCAAATGTGAAAATAATTTCTCTTCCAAATATGAAATTATTGTCAGCTATTAATTTTGATTAAAACAAATTGGCTCCTTTTTAACTAATTTATCTTAATTGTTAATTTTTGCAACAAAGAAAGAAAAGATATGATAAGAGATAAATGATTAAAATGAACTTTATCTCCGTTATCAATATCAATAAATGATACATAATGAAAATGTTTTCTTCCAACCTTATATATTTCAATTTGAGTTTTGGCTATTTTTTTGAAATGCTAATAATTTCAATATCTTTTCAATTTATTTATTTAATAGGAATTTTTGTGTGAATGAAAGATTTTGCAGAAAAAAAATCCTAAAATGAAAAATTACTACAGAATGCAGAAAAGGAGTGATCGGCAAATGATTGAATGTATCCAAACAGAAAATGCTAAATTTGGGCAATAAAAAATATTTTTCCTATCATTGCCTTCTTACCCATATGTTTGAACATTTTTACGTTCACTACTGTAGCATTGCTGCTTGTAGGATTGAATAATATCGGAGAGTGTAAATAAATTTTCAGCTGTAAAGTTGAGATTTATTGTTTGCTTCAGGATATTTGCCGAATTAAATGGATTTAAAATTTTTTTGAAAGAAGAAAAACGTTCTCTTCACTTTTACATCTTTCGTTAAAAGAAGAAAAAGCCTTTCTAAGTTTTACATTAAAAAATATTTGTTGGAAATAATAAATTAATTAGATTAAAATTTTTATTGAATTAATATAATTATGATAGTATTGTGAGATATAATTAATTTTCGAAATTATAGAAATCTTTTGGATAAAAATATTTTCAATTGAATAATTTCATTGAATTTTAAATCACAAAGAGAGCTAACAAATTGAAATGATAAATTCATTGATCTAAGTTGGATTTCTTTCTTTTACTTTACTTTAAGTTATGTTAATTCAAATCACTGATAAATAAAATATATCAAAAAAAGATTATTTATCAGTATGATGGAAAGATTAGAAAATAAATTAATGATAAAGACATAATATACATATACATAATAGCTAATTAGCAGAAAAATCTTATGGCACTAAAAGTTAGTCTATTGAATTTCATCATCTGTTTCAGTTAAATTTTATTTTAGCTCAAATTCTCTTTCAACAATTCTATTCTATAAAGTAAAGGAATAGTTTGTTAATTAATATTAGTGATAAAATTTTGTGGGCATTTTGATATACTTATTTCCATAGGATGAATTATTAATTTATACAAATATCTCAAATTTAAATACTTCAAGCTGTCAATAATACTAAACAAAATTTCATTTGACAAAATAAATTTTATTGCGATTAAAAAAAAAGCGATCATTGATCAGTTTAATTGTGGTACCATTGAGGAAAACACTTATTTCTCAAATGAAAAAAGAATGAACGAATGATTTATTCGTAACCTTTGTTTACGAATACTTCAAAATTCACTCTCTTGGGATCTTTTTTCGACAGACAGCTGTTGAATGTAATAAGTAAGTATATGAGGCGCTTTATTACATCATACTTTAGCGCCTGCCTCATTTCTTCTCTTCCAAATGCCAAATTAAATAATAATTACGTAATCAAATAATTACTAAAAAAATCTTTTAAAAGCTAATTATCATTATAAACTAATTTGTAGGTAATTTAATAAACAAAAAGGGAAATTTATGAAAAAGATAAAATGATAAAAGATATGATTGACAAATGATAAATGATAAATGATAAAAGATGATGGAATGTTAAATGATAAAAAAATGATAAAGATGATAAAATGATAAAAGATGAAAGATATGATTAATTGATTAT